GGGGGGGGTTCAAATGTTTGAGTTGGAAGAAATGAAGTGAGGTACAAGTAGTTAAAGTTAAAAATGCCGTCAAACACACCCAATAAAACGTTCCAATGCTTCTTCCCCCAGGCCCAACCACACAGTTCGTCTCCCCTTCCCCATCTCTCTCTCTCTCTCTGCTGTAAATATATACTCACAAACGTTTCGCTTTCTCTTTCTTTCTAAAACTAGCTCCTCCCTCCCATGGCAACTCGCCGTGGACTCGGTTTTTATGTTTCAAATATATATAGGAGTAGATCATAAAAGCCTCAATTTACTTCACATTTCCCTTTCATGGGCTCGGGTGAGAGAATCGTGATGACGAGGGTGGTATTAAGCTCTGGATTTGTTTCTTCTGTTGCTTTCTTTGTTGCTTTGGTCGTGTCCCAACTGGGTCGCTGCGGGGTCAACTCGGAGTCGACTCAGGAGAAGCAAGCTCTCATTGATTTCTTGTCCAGAACCCCACACGAGACCAGGGTCGACTGGAACGAGTCCACCTCGGCCTGCAATTGGGTGGGCGTCGGGTGCGATGCGAACCGGTCGTCTGTGTACTATCTGCGCTTGCCCGGAGTTGGGCTCGTCGGGAATATTCCGGCGAACACGATTGGGAGGCTGACTCAGCTCCGAGTGCTGAGTCTCCGGTCGAATCGGCTCACAGGTTCGGTCCCTCCCGACTTCGCCAATCTCAAGTTCCTCCGCAGCCTCTATCTCCAGAACAACCAGTTCTCCGGCGGGTTTCCATCTAGTCTGACCGAGTTGACGCGGCTGAGCCGCCTGGACCTCTCCTCCAACAAATTCACCGGCCCAATCCCGTTTTCGGTCAACAAATTGACCTCATTGAGCCGGCTCTACCTGCAGAAGAACGGGTTCAACGGGACCCTACCCGGCATCAACCTCCCCAGCCTAACCGATTTCAATGTCTCCGACAATCGCCTCAACGGGTCAATTCCGGCGAGACTCTCCAAATTCCCGGCGCCATCCTTCGCGGGGAACATCGATCTATGCGGCGCCCCATTGCCGCCGTGCAACCCTTTCTTCCCATCCCCCTCACCTTCCCCGTCGGCCCAGATCAGCCCGCTCCGCCACAGAAAGTCCAAGAAGCTCTCCGGAGGCGCCATTGCCGGAATCGCAGTGGGCGCGGCACTGGCCGCGATCCTCCTGGCACTGGCCCTCATCCTCTGCCTCTCGAGGAAGAGGAGAGAACCCCGGAAGGCAATACCTGCCGCCGGGGCAGGGGCGGGAGAATCCGCAGGGGCGGCGGGGGCGTCGGCCTCGAAGGAGGAGGT